TTTTTTTTTTTTTTTTTTTTTTTTTTTTTTTTTTTTTTTTTTTACCAGGATACATCCGTCCATGTCGACTCGTCAATATTTAAAAGTTGGAGTGGGTTGAGGATCGGGTGAAAAAAAAGCTCTTGTTCGGCACATTATTGCATACGTGTGTAAAATACCTTAGTGATATGCTAAAAATATTACAATGCGCAGGTTCTTTCCCGAGAAACGCGACGCCCCGTGCTTTTGTATAAGGAAACCAATGAGTTCGCTGAAAGTTTATACCTTACACATATATGTGTATGTGTTTTTTTTTTTTTTTTTGTTCGTACAAACAGTTTTTTGATTAATTGGCAAAGTGTAACGTACGGAAGTATAGGTGAGACTCTACGCTCTCTCAGCTGAAGAGAATTATCTCCAATTGCGCTTCAATACGCGAAAGGGTAAAAATTTTTTTATTTTTTTATTTTTTCGTTTCATCGCAACTACATTTCATGTCTCACATTTTTTAAATTAAATTTTAAAAAATGCATCCGCTATTCAATTCGCCGATACGTAATAATGGTATAAATATTACTAACAAGAGTTATTAAACTAATATTTTATTTGATAGTTTGTAACGAAATTCCTGGTTTTCTCGTTTTATGGAAGTATAAAAAAAAGTGCTTGCTTATAGTTCTTGTGTTTATTCAAGTACCAAAACGTTAAAAACCAAAGTAGCAATGGTTAAAAAATTCATAATACAATTTTCCCTAACTTTTCGAAATTTTGGTTTTCAACACATAAGTTCTCTAAGTATGGAAAAAAAAAACAATTCCAAGTTCTAAGGGCTTATATAAACATATAGCTTTTTTTGTCGTTCAGAGCCGTGTAAGTTAAATTGTTAGACACTTCTGTACATTTCCTCGGTCGCTGTACGTAGGTATAATTGAAAATCGACGAATAATATTATTCTATATAGGTACAGGCATCCAATAGCATACGTAACGTGAGTGAAAATACGAGAAAAAAAAAAAAATATTTTGAGACCAAAGGTGGTAAAAGATACATAAAAGATGATGGAGCGAGTTGAGCCATATCATCTGCTGTTGCACGCAGTTGTGTTGGCGGAGAATCCGTTGGAAAAGTTGTATACCTTATGTACATACCTACATACTATATTATTATTCTCTGATTACCGATCGGATACCTCGTATCGCCCCAACGTAGGACTTTTTTTTTTTTTATATATATATCATAAATCAACTTGTAACTAGGGTATAGATGTACATCTATGTATACTCAGGTGTGCGCATTGGAGCCGCGGGAGTGCGAATATACACGAATCGCGATAACAGGAGTGACGATGGTGACACTATATACTTATTTTACTCGATGTTCAATGAAAATACACAGCACATGTTATTCTTTTTACGCTCAAACGTGAGTTTCCTTTTTTTTTTTTTTTTTTTTTCACTCGTATCTTTTACACATGAAAAAATGGTATTTCCTATTTTCCAGTCGGCGACTGATACGTGTAAGGCTTTTATCGTGCCATCGAAGCTATTTAGCGCCCCCTGCGAAAGCGTTTTCGGACAAATTCATCAGAACAATTTTTTTGGCATTGTTTTTTTATTTATTGAGCATCAGAGGGGTGTGTCACTCATTGGCATGAAAAATACACATGAGGATTCGTTGTCCGTTAAAATATATATGTAATCTCCAAACGCTGGGTCACGTTACCCTCCGTCAAACGATTTATCGCCAACAAAGTAACTCAACACCCACAGATATTATACATTTTATTTGTCGCTTGACGTCTTTGTTTGACACCAACGGATATCTGAATCCTCTGTTTTCTTTTTCCTATACCGTATCGGAAAAAACAAAGTTCTTTGAAATTTTAATACAACTACCGATGGAATTAAAAATAGTTAAAATTAACGACAGTTAACAAGACTCAGACCCCCATGGGGTGCCGTGCATTGCGTACCGTTTAACCAATGTAAATTAATTAGTTGAGCTTCATTGAAACGCATACCGATGGATTATTCCGGTGTAAACCTGTATGATAAAAAAAATATAGCGATTATTAAAATGGAAATTTCGTTGAATGGCTTAAAAAACAAAAACACACCCACATTGTCCATTAAATGTAAAGATACACTATAGGCAATTCATGTTTTTTGGTACGATTGTTAAAACCATAGATTGAAAGTATTTTTCAACTGTGGTGCAATGTCACGAAAGCTTCGTTCTTATTTTTTTTTTTTTTTTTTATCATCGAGAGACAATTGGTCCAGATTAGGATGTATGTGCATTCGTATACAGTTGGCATTTATCGTATACATATGATTGTAAGTTGTGTGTGTGTTTCAAACACTCGGTTGGTGGGGTATTTGTAGCAGAGGGAAATTCCGAAAACCGACGTAATATAGCACCCTCGACAACAAGCTCACCCGATCCAGGTCAAAAATACCTTACTTATCTCATATACATATAGCATGCATGGCCCTTTGGAAAACAAAAACATGTAAGACCATTGGAGTAAATATTTGTCCTGCGCAAGCAAGGCAAAAGGGTAAGAAGAATCAGGTAAATAGTATGAATCACTCTTGTTATCTCAGTTTTTTGAGGCAAAAATATGTTGCAAGTAATAAATACACACTAACTTTTTTTTTTTTTTTTTTTTTTTACCTTATAAATAAGGCGTTTCTTATATTGATCAATATATCACATAAGGCGATTAGAGTCACTTTTACTATCAGAGGTAATGATTAACTGTGTTTCTTCACAACACAATTCTTATATTTTACTTGAAAAAAATAATCTTTTTTTTTTTATAACCAAGTAGGAGGTGTTATTCAGCCGTGAAAAGCGATTCTTGCAAATTAATCAAAGCCTTGACCAAACTTCAAGTTACGTGAAAATATTTGCAACGATTGATATTAACAATCTTAAAAAGTCCCCATAAATACTTAAATGCGATCTAGACAAAACTCAAAGTGATCAATAGTATGGAGTCCCTATAAAATTCGGTAGAGTTCTGGTGAAATATTTAAGGAGTCTGGGAGGAATCACGTGGGAAAGTGAGTTTTATTCCATGTGGAAATCACTTTGATACTATCACAATCCCGTGAGAATTTTATGTGGAAAAAAAAGAATCGAACTAAGTATAGAGTGTTTCAAACGGAAGAAAAGAACACTTTGCAAGTAAATTATAGATAAGTACCCAGAGAATCTCAATGAACTCCAGGTCGATTTAAAATTTGATTTTACTGTAAGTAAAATGCTTGAAAATTGAGCGACTTTTGGCTTGCGTCCTCGCGCGAGACGAAAGGAGTGGGAGGATGAGGGGAAGTGATCACTTCGAAGCTCTCTCTGGCTCTTGCGGTTGTCGTCAGTCAGAGCTCGAGCCCCGGTCGCTCTGCGTCGTGTGCGTATATCAGCACTCATCATAAATAAATAGCGTCCGAGCCATCGGGAGCAGACCGAGAAGTAGACTACTCCATTTCTTATCCAGTTGAGCACTAGGTGTGTACACACCATACTTCGGTGCACATACTCTCATCATCTGGTAGTTTTACAAGTACAGCACCAACAGCTCGCACGTAGAACCATGTCGGCGACGGTACAAACAAACGGCGAGGCAGGTGGAGGAGGTAGCGCCGACTTGCTCCGAAAAAAGCCCCGGGTCTCCGGAGCTGGTTTGCCTGGCCAACAGGCCAAGGTTACGGTCGTTCTGGGTGCCCAGTGGGGCGACGAGGGCAAGGGCAAGGTTGTCGACATGCTCGCCACCGAGGCCGACCTCGTCTGCAGGTGTCAGGTAAGCTACAGGCTACTCCTTACATTGCTTATAAATCTTTACATCGTCCCATCTATTTATTAATTAATAATTTTTTACTTTTTGACATAAATACCTACCCACATAATACCGCAACCTACGTTCTTACGCATAACTTTAAAAATTGTTTTATTTTTGTATTTGATACTCTATTGTTCAGTCCACTTTTTTTTTTTCTCGTGTTTCGCACGTCGCCTCCTCTGCGGAACAACCTTTAATGCATATCTGTAGCGCAAAATGAAAGGGAAAGTGAGAGAGAGGTTATACGAGAGGACCATTGAAAATATCAACTAACTAAGTAATATATTTATATGACTTATGATTCGTTTTTTCTTCTGCTCTCTCTTTCCTCTTTGCCATTCCTCATTTTTATTGTTGCTCCACTAGATATAATATAATATAGATATTCCACACCTTTGTTGTGCGACACACACGCACGCTTCGTTTTACAATTGGCGGCTGCCATTGCATCTACGTTAAAACATGAATTGAAAAGAGAGACAGGAGCTTGCGAGCAGCGAATTCTATTTATATCTATTTCATTTTTCCCTGCTTACCTTGTTCTCTGGCCAGCAGAAAATTGCTGCTTGTAACACAGACAACCAGACACATGCGTGATGGCTAGAAAGAGCTCTGCGATCACTTTCAAAGCTGTGTCGAATGATTTTTCAACTCTCTTGGTTCTGCTGCAAGAATTCATCCCTGAATAGAGGTCTTTAACAAGGTCTTTGCCAAGGGCCAGTGTATATAATGGATCTCTGACAAAAATCAATTAATACCTTACTCTATTTTGACATGATGCTCTTAAACTGCCGCTTTTATCTCAATACAACCATTAATTTTATGAAACCGAAGAAAAATAATTTTTTCTACCTAAAAATCATCTGTTTTTTACAGTAGTATCAATCTTTTTTCAACATCTATAGGTTTTTTTTTTTTTATAATTTTCAGAATTTTTTTAGTCACAGATTCTCAACAACTTGTCAATCAAATCGTTTTATTCGTAATTATTTTTATAATTATCTCCAGATGTATAACCCCGTGTGTAAAGATAAATTTTAACTTTTGAAATTAATTAAGAGTTAAATTGTAAACTGGCAAATAAACTGAAAAAGCGTATACTTAGCATTATCTCATTCCACAAGTCATTTCCTGTTTGTAAACTTTTCAATTGATTTTCATACAAGTCTTAATTGATAAGCTTCATTGCTTTTTAATAACATTCTCGTTAAAAGATGGCTAATCTCGAGATTCAATTAGACAAAAACAAACTCTTTTAAGTCATTGGCTTTTATTTATCAAGCATCTTGTGACTTGTATGACGTAATGTCACATGCCTATAGATAAGCAACTATTTGTGTTGTGACGTATGATTTCACAGCAAGATGTCAGATCCTATGTTAGCCAAGTAATTACTAACAGTTTACGATTGCTCTGCAATTTACAAATCGAAATTATCATGCCTAAATGATTCATGCATTTTATTTGCTGTTCCACAATTTATCTTCCCTACATGTAAATATACATGCATACATAAACATATATATTTTTTTTTTCAAAATAGTATAAGCAAAGTAATTTAAAAATTAATTAGTAACCATTAAGTTTCTTTTTATCTATTTTAGTAGTTTTTGTTATATCACTATTTTTTATCAAAGCCATTCATACTTTTGATTTGTCAAGTTCAATTTTAAGATAATTTTTGTAATAAGCTAATCAAATCCCATAATTGTGATTATTTTTCATTCATTGAATATTTATACCTAAATACTGTAAATTTTTTAGTCCATAAAATTTGTATCACTTGAGATGTTTACTGCTTCATATACGATCAAAATATAATCATGAATTTCTTTCATCAGAGCTACACATATCTCAAGTAGAATGTGAAACATGGTATGAAAATATAATATTACATTTATTAATCATCATCAAAAGGAGAAATAAAGTTGTGTAAATTTCGAAATATATGATTTTGTTTTACCATTATTTGCTTTTGATGAAAGACATTAATTTTTATATGTGATAACCAGCAATTTAAGAGGCACAATTTTTTAATAGTAGTCGTATTAAAGCTCAATTTTTTCCACTTTTATGCGAAGAAAATTAGGCATTAATATTATGCTCAGAGATTCCAAGAATCCTGTGCTTCAAATATTACTGTAATTTCACAGGGAGGAAGTAATGCAGGTCATACTGTAGTTGTAGAAGGTGCGGAATACCACTTTCACCTTCTACCTAGTGGAATAATCAATCCCAGATGTAAATCAATTATAGGTAATAATTTATTTAAATCGATCCATGTTTAAATACATTGGCTCTATTCTTCAAATAAAATTTTCTACTTTGTTTTATAATATTTTAACAATACTACTTACAAATATTTCAAGTTTGACTATTAAGTCAAATGATACTTAATACTTCAAATTATATTTAAAAGTAAAAAATCATAATTTTTTCTGCTTTATTGATGAAATAAAAAAAAAAAATTTAATCTAGATAACTATTTTCAAGTGTTATCAAAGTGAATATGCACGATTGTCCTTTGAAATTTTATCATTTCAAATAAGTACTAGACACAAAACGTTCATTGAATCATGTAAGATTACTTATCTACCTACTGCTACTATTAATTAAGAAGATTAGCAAAATTGTATTATAAATGTGGAGTTTAATGAATGAACACGGAACATTACTTTGAAATAAAAATTATAAAGTTTTATTAATTTCATAATTTTAATGCTTTAAAGAAATATTAAATTAAAATCAAATATTGAAACATGCAATCATTATTTCCAAATAGCTCATTTCTTTTCGAAAATTGTGATTTTTCCAATAACATTGTAAAGCTTATTATATTTGTTACCTATAAAAACTATTTGATTAGTTTACTTCATTACAGAAAATTTAAAAAAAAGAACGAATCAAGGGTTATTGAAATAATTTTCATGTAACTGCACTTTTATTGATCTATCTACTACTCAAGTACAATAAATGTTTCATGTAAAGATTAATTGCTCTCTAAAAGCAAACTGTTATGATCTATTTTTCAACCTTGTGACATTATTGCGATTTTATTGATTTAACAAAGCAGAATACTGCTTGTTAGCGATCGCATTTCATTGTCCTCTCATACACTTGACTTATCTGCTTTCAGGAAATGGAGTCGTCATTCATTTGCCAGGCCTATTTGACGAGCTGGAAGAAAATGAGGCTCAAGGCCTTAGGGAATGGAAGGACAGACTCATCATATCGGACAGAGCCCACATTGTTTTTGACTTTCACCAACAGGTCGATCAGCTGCAGGAGATTGAAAAGGGCAAAGGCTCTCTGGGCACGACTAAGAAGGGCATTGGTCCGGCATACGCCAGCAAGGCTGCAAGGACTGGCATTAGAATAGGAGATCTTGTCGGAGACTTTGACAAGTTCTCCGAGAAATTTGTAACTCTGGTTGCATCCCATCAAAAAATTTTCCCCTCTTTGAAAGTTGATGTCGAAAATGAATTGAAGCGTTACAAAGGGTTGGTACTTTCATTTTTATTGGAAGCACGTCATTTTTAGTTTTATATTTAATTTAAATTGAATGCTCTAACTGAACCGTTGTAGACTAAATTAAAGATGTTAATTTTCTCAGATCTTTTGGTCATCTTTGAATGTTTTTTTTTTTTACTAAAGGTACGCAGAGCGTATCAGGCCGCTCGTCAAGGAAACAGTTCATTATTTGCACAACGCGGTAAAGAAGGGCAAGAAGATATTGGTGGAAGGTGCTAATGCAGCATTATTAGACATAGACTTTGGAACGTATCCGTACGTTACGAGCTCGAATTGCAGTATTGGTGGCGTGTGTACTGGTCTTGGAATACCACCAACTGTCATTGGCGACATCGTGGCTGTTGTAAAAGCCTACACCACGCGAGTCGGTGATGGACCATTTCCTACTGAATTGTTGGACGCTACGGGTGATATATTGCAGAAAAGAGGGGCTGAATTCGGAGTCACAACCAAAAGAAAAAGGCGCTGTGGATGGCTTGATGTGGCATTGCTTAAGTTCACAGCAATCGTTAATGGGTGAGTGCTGTATATCATTTCTTTGTCTCGTTGCAAAATATTGACAACGGGCTTAGAGCTTTTTGAATATTATTTTTTCTTTGATAAATACGTACTTAATACGCATCTTCTTAATGCGCATCTCCTACCCCACTACTAAACTTTTAACTGCTCTATTTTTATTAATATTTGTGATTTTTTTTCTTCATTCTTGTTTTACTCACAAAAGAAATGAAAAACTCGCTTATTCATATTTATTAGTACTGCCTTTTCCCAATCTAATATTAATTCATGTTACAATCTGTTTTTGATGATAAAAAAATATTTAAATAATTTTAGTTTTTAAACTTTCTTTGCAGAAAATTAATTTTAAAATTCTTCATCTTTACTAACTTGTTTGTTTATTTATTTTATTAATCTCACGCCGAGGTTGTTATATACATATTTTTTTTTTTTCAACATTACTTTCTGTTGCAATAGTATAAACGAATCATTTTTTTAGCCTTTTTATTTCATGAAAGTGATTTTAAAATTGGCTCTGTGAAATTCCCATCATGTATAATGCATTTTTGACAAGAAATAAATCATTTTTAATTTTCTTTCGGTTGGTATTGTAAACATTTTTTGCCTACACAGACCGTGTGTATTGCATTATTTGGTATAATGTGCTTTAAATTAACAAATGATGATGGACGAAAATATGTGAAAAATTCAGGGGATGAGAAATTCAAGGAGTAATGTTTTTTACCATTGAATATTATATCCCTATATCGAGTCTATTTTTTCTAGATTTAAGGTATATATGGTCCAGCTAGTTAGTCTTTCGTTTTAGGCAAATTTGAAGTCCGATATTGAGTACTTATGAGAAAAAGCCTTTGGCAAAATTAATTTTTTGTTCTATTTAATATTCTGTTGTTACTTTTATTAGCAATTGACTTTTATCAATGATTTTAAATGAAACGTGTGTTCCGAGAGTAGTAAAAATGCGCATGACATTTTAATCTTTTTTAAACACGAGTAAATTTTATCTATTTCAGTTATACGGCTATATGCCTGACCAAGCTCGACATCTTAGATACATTGCCAACAATAAAAGTCTGCATCGGATACCGTCTGAACGGTAAAGTGATTGATTATTTCCCCAGCAGTGTAACCGACTTGGCGAAAGTCGAGCCGATTTACGAGGAGTTTGAGGGATGGAAGACAAGCACGGAAGGAGTCCGTTCTTTTGATAATTTACCATTGAGTGCTCAAAAATACGTACAAATCCTAGAGGATTGCTTGGAAATTCCGGGTAAATAATCATTTCTCAAATCTCATCGATTAAATATTTTTATTCGTTTACTTAAAAAATTTTTTTTCTTTTTTTTTCTTATTTACAGTTAAATGGATTGGTGTGGGTGCTGGCCGAGAAAGTATAATTGCCATTTGACACTCGAGTGAGGAGTGACGGCATTGCGCCAGTTCTAATGTATTATTAAGGTTAATTGTTACTGTATTGTTTACAATATGGAGCTGATGCGCACACATAACGTAAAGGAATTTGAAACAAGGTTACTTAAAGTGTGTAAGGCAAAAACGAGCCTTGCATTGAAGAAAAAGTCTGGTACGTTCTTAAAAAATATATATAGAATGATAATAATAATAATGATAATAACAGATGACTTGCTAAGATTCATCTAGATGAACTCTAATCCGAGTCGTGTGGAACGGGGATTTTGTTATTCCCGAGTATTTTTCTCCGTTGTACTGTAATGAATTAAAAAATGTACAAATATTTATAAACCCTCTTCGGTTATCACTTAATTAATTTCATAGTGTGCTTATGTATATTACGGTCATTCAAGTCGATTACTACTTATATATACATACACTTCTCAATGCCGAATCGAGTTGTGAAAATCCGTGATTATAATTTGATTGCATGTGTCTGATCACTTGATTGAGATTCTCGTCTCGCTCTTGCGCGCCGATTTTGAAACCAAATTTTTATCTGAAACATAACGATTATTTGTTTCTGAATATATAGCAAGTATTTTTGAAAACAGTAAAATATCGCAGTGTGTTAATTGAAAATATTTTTGTAAAATAACACCAATCAATATCACCGTTTGAAAGAACAACGTTGCTTTGCAATAATGTTATAAAAAAATTTTTTTTCAATGCTCAAAAATTTCCTATATTTTTTGCGATAAGAACTCAGCGTTTTGTAGAAATAAAGAATCTCAAATGAGAAAACAAGTAATAATCATTATTTAAAAGCCAAACACTTACTCTACTTTGAGGCAGGTGCAATAAATCAGACAAGTAAACAACATCTTTTCTCGCTAGATAAGCGTTGCTTTTGTATTTGTCCTCTAAAACTTCGAGTTGGTATTTCGTAAATGGTATCCTTGGATGCGACCCTGGTTTTCTCTTGAGGTTTTTACCGGCGCTTGATTTTCTTGGTAATTTTGGTGGACAGTATCTCGTACACCGTAACCATGAAAGTTCTTCGCCATTAAAATCTTCTAGATTTATTTTTTTGTGCCGTGTCACGTTTCCAGTGCTGGATCCACGACAAAAGTAAATAACTTTTAGTTTCAAGAATTTTCGGCAATTATTATGACAAAAAATGCTGCTTTCTATTATTTTTATAATTACAGTTAATAGTAAAAAACTTGGAGACAAATCGATAATGTTTGCAGTGTACGGTATTCACGAAAAATAATGATACTTAAAGCGTCTTTTTAACAGAAATATTTTTACGACATAAATTATTCTTGTATTCTAGGAATACCGTAAAATAGAATTTGATAAATATTAATCGTTTGATTTAATTAACGGATTGAAACAAAAAAAAATTGGATTCAATAAACTGATTTAAATAAATCAGTAAACAACAACAGACAATTGACCTAAAAATATTAGTTAAGAATTGGCTGGTTTTTGTTAATTACGAAGTCTAAAAAATTTGTGCTTATAGTTTATCTCTTCAACTTAGAACGATAGACACAACATTTTATTCTTATTCAATAAAAAAACAAATTACTTTTTTTTGCTCGATCGTAAAATTGCCTAATCTACCACTGCATGTTTTTCTTGAAAAAGTTTTCGCGCAAACAGCATGTATGAGATTTCGCAAAAATTATATCAATGTATCCAACCTGTTAATATTTGCATCCGTCTTGGATTTATCAGCTTGTAGTCGCGCTCTACTTGACTGAAGGTCACAAAAGTTCCTGAGCCAATCAAGCTTGTTCCGGACGCCAAAGGAGCCGGAAGGATGCTGAGTCAGAAGATCCTGATCGACAACGCTCGTGCAAGCTGGACTTAACGATGGAAAGGATCTTTTGACTGCGGTTGCGGATGTCGACGATGACGAGGATGGCGTGGTATCCTTGGAAAGGATCCTCTCGATGCTGAAATCACTAGACTCGCGCCTGGGCGCCGGGATAACTCCTCGCGGCTCCTCGCTCATTTTGCAACTGACAGAAGTGTAGAACCAGGAGCAGCGAAAGCAGTAGCCCCGTACGGGAAACTTTCAATCTTTGTGCCGTATCCCTTATCGTTATTATTATTATTATTTCGGGCGCGCGCCTCTTCTGGGCCTCGGTATCCATTTCGCCGGCGCAAATCCAAATTAGCCGCATAGTTGCACTGCTAATAGCTAATACCCTATATGCTGTCGGCAACTGCGAGATGGCTATCGCGTTGCGTATTAGCACGCCTGGCTGGAGCTTCTCCTGGTCGGTACATGTATATACACATATACCTACATGTTCATTTGTGTTTTGGGGCCTACAGAGAGAGAGAGAGGTAGAGGTAGTACCTGACCCCCTACCAACCCTCCTTTTGTTGTGCATGCTCTTATGCCAGTGTATTATCTTCCGACCGCATCTCGGGGTGGCTGGCTCGCCTGTTCTACCCCAATAACAACAATGTAATTGATACACCAGGAGGCTCCCGGGCCGGCTAGCGACTACCACCACCACTACCTAATGTACATTTGTCTGTAACTACTCCTTGTATAATAGCATGGTGGTTGTCGTCCTGTAAGCGTCGTCGATTCTTTTTTTCATGTGACTATAAGGCTCTGAAGAGCACGCAGATGTAGGTACATACTAGGTGCAGCGAAGCCTGGCTAATCGAAAAGCCACGGGGGTCACGCAGAGCCTGATGATGAGAGAGAGGCTCTCTTTTTCTCGTTCTAATCCGGTAATACTCTCGTTTGCTCTGATGTAAATATTGGCTCCTTGCATGAATGTACATATAAACTCCACGAAATTGTGGCGCGTGCTCGGTTTTTGTGCTTTCAATGAAGAGAAAAGAGATGTTGCGCCACTGCTTTGCTTTTTTTTTCCTGTAACGGGGACCGTTCAAGTTTCACTTTGGCTCTCTTTTATCATCTAAGATTTCGTTATTCCTCATCTCTGGCTTATAATTCTTATACAATATGACGTGTGATTCTTTAAATCAGGTAGGTACATGCCAATCGAAGCTTGAAAGTAGTGATGTTGATAATTTTATTTACTTACACCTTAGACCGTTAAAAGTTCATTTTTGCAGGTAAGTTTAGTTCTATTTACTTTTCTTCCTTTATGTTGTATAACTACCATCTGAATTAAGTATTCGAACTTTATTTAATAGAACTTTTACACCTTACATGTCTTATATACGCTTTACATGGATATACTTAGTACAGTTATAGCTTTTTCAGACATGGTGGGTTATTAATGTTATACTGTTTTGGCGAAGTTCTTACCCTAAGCTTGAGCGTACAAAAAAAAACTGCGTTATCCGGCTGGAATTCAAACCCATGACTCCCCTCCTTGAGCAGCCGTGTTTCTAAAGCCAAGTACTAAAACCATTGAGCCAAAGACAGCTCCTTATTCAACGATCTGACGTCATATTAACATTATGTCTCATATTAATAAAAATTCTAAGAAACAATCGTTCAGTATACAAAAAGTAAACAAATTACCGTATGATCTTATTTCGAAAATCATCGATCAAAATGTCGTAAATGGCCATTTAGGCCTTATTTAATGATCGTCGGTTGATCGGCAGCATCTTCCAATGTCCAGTCCTCACCGATTTCCGGGGACTGCAGTCGTAAAGGTAGATAGAGAAACATTTTTAGTGTGGCCATTTTTGGTAATAAAAGTACCAGTTGCCGTTTCTATCGGTCGTTTATTCTTTTACAAAATCAGTCAATGGCCATTTTTGTCAATCAATAACGTTTATGGCTAAAGATCAATCTCTTATTTCAGTATTTAATTCAAGCCGGTTGACTTCACGGCTCGCGCGCTCGTCTTCCTTCAACAGCTCGACCATCACACGCCTCTGGCGAGCTACCTGTTGTGTGAAAATGACATGTTTTTTTTGTTTTCATACGCCTCTCAGAGATATATTCCAATGGTTAAAATGTCAAGTTACTGTTAATCAGTTACTGGAGAAAAAAAAATCATCCAGAATCTCTCAATTGATGCCACAGCATTCATTGTTTAACGTGCCTGTGATGTACGAAATGTATGCCATGGGCCATGGCCATGGAAACTGAAACCGTTGGTTGTCGGTAGGTGCCGCATGTCAACAAACTTCGATAATTTATTAATTTTTGCTGTTTTCCCTCCCATGCTACCCGATATTTCGGAGTTTGTTGACATGCAGAACCCACCGAGCCGAATTATGTCACTGACAGTTATAGAGCAGGTTGTCGCTAGCGTTACAACGACCTACGTAGCGTAACTGCTGGCATCATTTGCGGAAGACAGCCTCTGATCTGATTGTATACTTATTATTCTGGTAAAGAGAGCACGGTCCACGGTGTAAAATATACGTGAAGTTATGTGTAGTAATTATTGTAATCATCACAAGTTGTGCCATATGGTCGATTTTATTAAACCATACAAGTAGAATATCTGTTCCTTTTGGACGTCGATTTTTGGATAAAAGATAGATTGAACACTTGCCGCAAACAGCACAAACAACGTCAACTTTTAATCTTCTACCTATAAGATTAGTTGCGGCTAGTTTATAATCGAATACATGGCTCTACTATAAGTATATTTATTTGTGGGGATATCGGCCTGCTAAGCGCTAGCAGAGTAGGGGACGATTCCCCCTCCACGCGAAGTTATATATATCGTGCCGCTCGTAGCCGGCTTGCTCGTCGACATAGTCAGTCTTCGCTCTATCGCCTTACACGGCGGAGCTGTACATTTTGTAGCCCAATAAACATATATTTAACCCAAGGCTCTTTGTACTGATTTGCAGACCTCTCTCCGATATCTCTCCTGGTTTCCTCGAAGGCGTCGGAGACATCCTGGGGCAACCTAGCCCAGGCCTCCACATTGGTGACCCCGACGTGATCGTCCAGCCCTTCGACCAACACCGGAGAGGAGAGAATTCCTCGAGCGCTAGGGGAAGCGTCCCCAATCAACCTCGACCCAGGTGAGCTCCTGCTGGCCCTGAGGCGACGTGACTCATCGTTTTCCCTGAGGTAGGAGTGTTGTGCGCCCGAGTTGTGTACCTATGGTGTTTTTCGAGCGTCTTCCGAGAAACGCAAACCGCCGTTGCGGTAGAGACATACATATATATATAGACATTGTCTTCTCAAGTTTTTTTTCGCGCGCCTCGCCAGGCGACGGCCATTATCGTTGCGGGCGTTTTGTTCAGGTTAGATACTCGGAAATTTTTTTTTTGACCAGCTTAAGCGGAGTGCGTTCTTACTATCGAGTTCGCTGACTATAGTTTTTCTCTTGCGAGTTACTTTTAGTTCCCCGCAATAGTGTTAATTATTTCCGTGGTCGCATTGGCGTACACCTTTTTATCTGATAATTAAAATTTTTTTTACTTTGGCAACCTCTGCTTTTTATTTACTTTTTCAAGCTCGGTCGATAAAGTTTTTTTTTATTTTTTATTTTTAATCGTGCGTGGTGTGAGTCTTAGGTTGCGTTGCAATTAGCTTGCGTTTGTACTGCATCTGCGCATGCACGTTTAGCATCAAGCTTGTAAAGCCTCACACCTTACAATGTCGAACAGTGACCCTGTCGTTGACGATCAAGTCCGCACGCTGCAAGCACGGTTGGAGGCAGCTCTAGCACAGGTGCGTACTCTCCAGGAGGGAAACAACCCTGTCCCTCAGCCTCAGCCCGTAGCTGCTATTTACAGGCAACCAAAAATACCGGCCTTTTGTCGTGAAAATCCTGTTACTTGGTTTGTTTCGGTAGAGATCACCCTTCGAAACGCAGGTATCACTGTCTCCGCTACCAAAGCTGACTGTATCGCAGAAAAGTTAGATATGGAGGCCCTTCAGGCTATCCAGGATTTGATTACTTTATCGCCGCGCCCTGATGATATTTATGAACAGGTGAAAGCAAGGTTAATAGCCACCTTCGGTAGTTCTTCGGAGACCAGATTGCGCCAACTGATTAAAGGTCAGGTTTCTTCGATAGGTAAACCGTCTTTATTGTTGAGCAGGTTGCGTGCTTTAGACACTAGATGCGGGGATGACGTTCTTCGTACAGTCTTCCTGGATCAGATTCCTCCTCCCTGTCGTGCAGCTATCGCTATTTCAGGCATCACCGATTTGGCTAAAATAGCCGAGATGGCTGATAAGTATATGGAAGCTGCCGACTCTTCTTCGGGCGCCGTGGCCGCTGTTTCGGTTCATGCCTCTTCTCTTGACTCCTTGAAGGAGGAGATCGCGCGTTTGTCTGCTCAGCTTAGTAACCTCCAGACTGAGGTAACTAAAGCAAAGCAAAGGCGCGGTCGCTCTAAATCCCGTAGTAAATCAAAATCCGGTTCGGTTGAGGGTAGTACCTTGTGCCGGCTTCACAAGAAGTACGGTGATAAAGCGCATCGTTGTTTTAAGCCTTGTTCTTGGTCTCCTCCTGCGGGAAACTAAACAATCCTCTCTACATTGGGGCGGTAGGAGAGGATCGTTCTTCTAGACGTTTGCACGTCAAGGATCGACAGTCTGGTTTGGTGTTCTTAATCGACACGGGATCCGAGATTTCACTGATCCCTAAAGAACTTGTCGATTCCTTTAGCCCCTCCTGTACCAAACTTCTGGCCGCTAACAATACACCTATTGAGGCCTTTGGCGAGAGAGAGCTATGCCTCGATCTGCGCCTAAAAAATCTCCTGAAGTGGACGTTTTGTGTCGCAGCAGTTCCGTATCCTATCATCGGAGCCGATCTGCTCGACCACTTTGGTCTCGTAGTCGATGTTCGGAGACGCAAAATCTCTGATCCTTTCTCTGACACCTTTGTCCCAGCCTTCGTCAAGACAGCACCTTTTTCTTCGGTAAGCATAGTCTCGAGTGACAAGGTTGGCATTTTGCTGGCTGAATTTCCCAAAATCACTGGTCGAAAGCCTGCAGGCAAAATCAAATCAACTGATGTTTTCCATCATATCATTACCAAGGGCCCTCCTGTTTACGACCGCGTACGCCGTCTTAATCCTGATAAATATCAGGCTGTCAAGCGCGAGTTCGAAAAATTAGTTGAGGACGGCCATTGTAGACACTCAAGCAGCCCCTGGGCTAGCCCGCTACACTTGACCAAAAAGAAAGACGGTTCTTGGCGAGTGTGCGGTGATTTCCGTAAATTAAACAGCGTGACCGAACCGGATAGGTATCCGCTTCCGCACCTGCATGATTTTTCCACGGCTCTCCACGGTAAGAGCGTTTTCTCTACCGTGGATCTCCTTCGAGCCTACCATCAAATTCCAGTGGCTCCCGAGGATGTCCCGAAGACGGCTGTTATCACGCCGTTCGGGCTCTTCGAGTATCTGGTGACTCCATTCGGGTTGAGAAATGCATGTCAAACATTTCAGCGATATATTAATCGCGCCCTGGCCGGATTAGATTTCGTCTACGTTTATCTAGACGATATTCTCATCTTCTCCTCCAACGAGGACGAACATGCACTGCATTTACGTGCTGTGTTTGAACGCCTAGAAAAGTTCGGCCTAAGTCTTAATTTAGGTAAATGTATCTTTTTTAAAACCGAAATTCGATTTCTCGGCTATACGATTACCAAGGACGGGTCTAAGCCTTCGCAGGACAACGTCCAGGCTATCGTTGATTTTCCTAAGCCTAAGACAGTAGTTCAGCTACGTCGCTTCTTGGGCTTGGTGAATACCTATCGCCGCTGCACGCCTCACGCGGCTGAACTACACGCCCCTCTGAACGAATACATCCGCGGATCGACTAAAAATGATAAGCGTGAGGTCGTCTGGACCGTAGAAGCGGACGCCGCTTTCGAGAAGAGCAAAAGCGATTTAGTCAGCGCTACTCTTCTTAGTCATCCATCGGCTGAGGCGGAAACACGCCTGGTTACAGACGCCTCTGACCTGGCCATGGGTGGTGTTATCGAACAATGCCTTGACGGCACCTGGAGGCCCTTAGGATTTTTTTCGAGAAAATTTACGCCTGCCCAAACGAGGTATAGCACCTATGACAGGGAGCTGACCGCTATCTTTGAGGCTATTAAATACTTTAAATATTTTCTTGAAGGCAGGGACTTCCATGTTTTAACCGACCAAAAACCCTTGACTCACGCGTTCCAACAGCGCGCTGACAAGGCGTCACCTCGTCAGTGTCGCCAGTTGTCGTTTATTTCGCAGTTCACCACGTCTATCAGACATGTAGCTGGTGCCGATAACGCTGTGGCTGATGCACTCTCGCGTGTAGATCTAATTCGTCTTCCGGTCGAGTTCAACCTTCTCGAGCTCGCTCAGCTCCAAAAGGCCGACCCCGAACTGGCTGAGTTGCTCTCAGAGCCCAACAAGTGTTCGTTAAACATTAAAAGTATCGAATGGGGCCAGGAGCATCACAAAGTTCATTGTGATATTTCTGGTAACATTCTCCGCCCGTACGTACCTGATCTTTTACGCAGACGCGTCTTCGAATTGTTTCACGACCCGGCGCATCCCAGCGCCAAGGTGACAGACGCTATTGTCAGACAGCGGTACGTGTGGCCCAACATGCACCGCGATATTAAGCAGTGGTGCCGAACTTGTGTCGATTGCCAAGTTTCCAAAATCTCTCGTCATGTCAAAAACAACCCGTGTCAATTCGTGGCTCCAGACAGTCGATTTTCCGAAGTCCACATGGACATCGTCGGTCCTCTCTCGAACTGCGACGGGTACTCATACCTGCTGACGATGATAGATAGGTTTTCGCGCTGGCCCGAGGCCGTTCCTTTGAAAGAAACTTCGGCGCTAACGGTGTGTCGTGCCTTTTTCGACAACTGGGTAGCTCGTTTTGGTGCCCCTCGAACTTTAACGACCGATCAAGGTGCTCAATTTGAGTCTCAGGTATTCAAGGCTCTCTTGAGTTTGCTAGGCACTCAGCGCATCCGTACCGCGGCTTATCACCCAGCGGCGAACGGAATGGTAGAGCGTTGGCACCGTGACCTTAAAAAAGCACTGATGTGCCATAACAATCGCGATTGGCTTCGACAGCTTTCCACAGTCCTCTTAGGACTTAGAACGGCGGTGCGCTTGGACTCAGGTGGCTCTCCAGCCGAATTTCTGTACGGCACGACACTTCGCATTCCTGGCGAGTTCTGTCTCCCGGATGACTTCGCTCCTAATCCTCAGATTTTCCTCGAGGAGTTTCGAGTGCATATGCAAAACGTCAAGCCCGTTCCGGTGGCTCATCGTCACAAGCCCCGTGCCTTCTTCTTTAAAGAGCTCAGAACTTGCTCTCATGTCTTTCTTAGGACGCCGCCAGTCAAAAAGTCACTCGAGAGACCGTACACTGGCCCGCATAAGGTTTTAGAACGAATTTCCGATCAGGATTATAAAATTGAGGTCAACGGTTCTGAAAAAGTAGTATCCACGGAACAGCTTAAACCAGCTCATTTTATTCCGGAGGACCTGCTGCCGCCGGCCCTTCCTGACTCGTTTTCGTTTCCTCAACAGACCCCGGTGACGCGTCCGATTCTTAAAACTTATGTTAAAAAAAGCGTTACTTTTCATTCCGATGCAAAAAACAATAGCGTTGCAGACCTGGCTGAGCCAGGGTACTTTTAGTTTTTTTTTTTTTTTTCTAACTAGTCCTATTTGTAAAGCCTTAAGCTAACGGACCAAATTAGTTATTTATCTTTGAATAGATTTTAAGTTTTTGATTTGTATCATTGAAACTGACTGAACGACAGCTGTGATTGTAAAGTACAAATCTTCTGCGCGTACTTACCCCGCGTATGCCTTTCGAAAGGCTTGTGATTATTAAAATGAGCATTGTGCACATTGTAACAATTTGATCAATTATTGTCATAACTTGGGGGGAGTACTGTGGGGATATCGGCCTGCTAAGCGCTAGCAGAGTAGGGGACGATTCCCCCTCCACGCGAAGTTATATATATCGTGCCGCTCGTAGCCGGCTTGCTCGTCGACATAGTCAGTCTTCGCTCTATCGCCTTACACGGCGGAGCTGTACATTTTGTAGCCCAATAAACATATATTTAACCCAAGGCTCTTTGTACTGATTTGCAGACCTCTCTCCGATATCTCTCCTGGTTTCCTCGAAGGCGTCGGAGACATCCTGGGGCAACCTAGCCCAGGCCTCCACATATTATTTGGATTAGCGCCATCTAGCGTTGCTGATTTTTGAACTAAAAAGTGGCCCTAAACTTTTCACCCAGAGCCTTAGCGCGTAGAGCCATTTAATCACTTATAAACCAGCCGCAACTCATTTGGTAGCTATAAAATGAAAAAATAACGATACATGTGTTTTTGGCGGCAAGTTAACAATTTATCTTTTACTCAAAAATTCATCTTCAAAAGTATAAATACTCATGAGGTCAATTTTTTGGTAGAAAATAGATTGTTAACTTGCCGCCAAAAACACACGTATTATTATTTTTTTCATTTTATGGCTACAAAATGAGTTGCGGCTGGTTTATAAGTGATTAAATGGCTCTACACGCTAAAGCTCTGGCTGAAAAGTTTAGGGCCACTTTTTGGTCCAAAAATCCGCAACGCTAGATGGCGCTGATCCAAATAATAAATATACTTATAGTAGAGCCATGTATTCGATTATAAACTAGCCGCAACTAATCTTATAGGTAGAAGATTAAAAGTTGACGTTGTTTGTGCTGTTTGCGGCAAGTGTTCAATCTATCTTTTATCCAAAAATCGACGTCCAAAAGGAACAGATATTCTACTTGTATGGTTTAATAAAATCGACCATATGGCACAACTTGTGATGATTACAATAATTACTACACATAACTTCACGTATATTTTACACCGTGGACCGTGCTCTCTTTACCAGAATAATAAGTACAATCAGATCAGAGTGGCTGTCTTCCGCAAATGCTACCACGCTGCCAGCATAGATAGAGGATAGAGGGTAGGGGATAGGGAGGGGTCACTTTTTGCAAAAATCCGAGAAAATTAATACCGCTAGATGGCGCTGATCTTTAACTTTCCATCTTTTGATTTGACTGGCATATCATATGCCGCATATGTAAGAAAATACAAAGCCAACAAACTAACTGAAAAACTTTTGATTTGAATATAAAAATTTTTAGCTCGACTTTTCGCAAAAGCCAAAAATTAATACTAAATTGCTAGTATAGTGCAAAACTTGAGCTGTTTGCAACTTTTGCAGTTAAGGTATGCGGGCTTAGATACCTCTTGAAGGCTTAGTAAAAATAATAGGGTATTATAGACAATAATTGGTGGAAATTGCACATGAGTAAGTAGTATTTAAAAATTTTTTGCATGTGAATTACTTTATTTTTAATGATGTAACATAATAATTAACTCTTCTAACGTCATTTTGGAGTGAATAAACATGAAACTTAACATATTTTAACCTACTTTAGAGAGTAATTTAAGTTTATCTTAAAAACTGAAAGTGAATACTTTTGAAGAAAAATCAAAGTGACACAAAAACAATTGGAATTTTAAGGTTATAAAAGCATTATTGTTTACGAAGTACATGGGTTGTAATAACTTGTAATTCAAATACAGTACTGAAATCAATTACTCTATTTGAACACCTTAGTGAGATATTGATAAAATTTATTTGAATGGGAACTCCGGATGCTTGTTTGTTCCGGGCAAAAATGAAAAGTCACAGATACGCCCTTTTGCACCTTGGTCCAAATTATCAAGTTCTGCGACATCCTCAGCATCGAGCATCCAACCGAACAATTGAATGTTATCTTTTATACGTTGTGGGTTAGTACTCTTAGGAATCACAATGACACCCTTTTGGATCAAATGCTTCAATGAAATTTGTGCTGGTGTTTTACTGTGCTTCTTTGCTATTTCCAAAACTTTTGGGTTTGCCATACAGTCAGGAAGAGTGTCATTTTTGCCCAACAGTTGTACCAAACCTCTTGTTCCAAGCGGTGAAAAGGCTGTTATAGGAACATCTCTGCTCTTACAGAAATCAACCTGGAAAAATAGTGTAATTATAGGTCAACTTGTGCTATTTATATTTGAAAAATGTGTGTTTCAATATTTTGTACCATTTCTTTCTGTTGAAAGTATAAATGCAATTCAATCTGCAACATCGAGACTGGTACTTTGGCAGCTTTCAGTACTCTGTCTATTTGTTTTGAGTTGAAGTTTGACAATCCTATTGCTTTAGTCAAGCCATTTACTACCTGCTTCTCCATTTCTGCCCATACAGCAAGATGATCTGTGTCCATATCCATTTTCATGTCGCCGTTTTCATATTTAGGGTGCAAGTCGTCTCCCTCTTCGACAAAACCAAACGGCGTGTGAATCAAATAGAGATCCAAGTATTCCAATTGTAAGTCTTTTAAAGACTTTTTTAAGTATTTTTCAACGCTCTCGGGTCTGTTTCCAGTTGGAGGTAGCTTTAAGCACAAAAAAGAAATTAAATATTAACATAGACTTATAAAACTTATTTAGACTTCACAATGAGTATTAAATTTACTTTTGTGACTATAAACAAATCTTCTCTCTTTATTTTGCCAGAGTCGAACCATTTCTTCAGAACTCTTCCAATCACGTGTTCATTCAGGTAAACTGGAGCTGCATCAATGTGTCTGTAACCAGCTTCTATAGCGTTATCTATAGCAGCTTCCAATTCTTCCTCAGATGCCTAAAACAATTATCGTGGGGGAAAAAATTAACGATCTAGAACATTGTTTTAGCCATTGTAACCAAGAGCTCAAGGATGCCGATTTTTATTGTTTTTCCGTAAAACAACAATACTAAAAAATTTTATCACGATGCATTGTAAAAGTAGATAATGGATTGTTCGATCTTTGAAAGAGCACAAGCTAGCAATAGTGCATAAATTCAAACGCATCTGGAAATTTAATAAATATTCACAACATTGTTTTACAAGGTCACGTGCAAGCTGTATTATTATAACAATCAGTGACTGTACCTTGAAAAAATCATTATAAACGTTTGTTTACGTGAATTTTTCAAGCTCGGAAATTTGATTTTTCATGGTTGGTAGATAACACATTTATTGACCAACAAAGGATTTTAGTCTCTATATGTTTTGTTGAAAGTCATTCGTACAAGGAATTGAGGTACGAAAACTTAACAGTTTCCCTTTTTTTAGTATTCTATGTCCCAATCATTGTGATTGAGCGCTAAATCTTAGGTACTTTCGACTTGATTCGTCATGTTTTTTTATCCCATTGTATACTTACAATGTGGCAATCGAAAGGTGCGGTTTTTTGGTCGATCGATCGACTGTTACGTGTAATTTTGTATTGTATAGACTGCTGAAGGCAGTCAAGTGAATCGCTCCAATTTTTAATGTTTTTTGGCTCATTTTTTTTTCAAACAAAAGTTGGTGGAGAAGAAGTTCCTTCTTACAAAACTTGATTAATCACTAGAAACCAACTATACGTATAATCGTATGTAAAATATTTTAATTGAAACTTTTTTTTTTTTTAACTGAGATGCTATAAAAGATAAATTAGTCCTTGGACTTACGCGTATATTTCATTCATTGACATGAGAATATGCTGCAATATTGCACAGTCAACGATTAAAGTATGCTTAGAAAAACGGGGAAGGTCGCGCGTTTCTATGCGCATTGTGTAGTTTTTTTTTTTTTTTTTTTTATTTCTAAGTAGCTATTATTGAGAATACAAACGAACAAAATAGGAAATTGTATCGTTTCTTTTTTTTTCTCAACGTTTTTCTCGATACAAGCAAAAAAAAGAAATTATTGTTTTAAAAAAATCATCGATTCATAGGTACCTTCCGTTCTCATTAATGTTAAAGTACCAAATTGCTTATGAAATCTTTTTAAAACGCATTTTTAATCACGAATGAACCTTCTCTACCAGCCCCGTTTTGTCAAATTTTATCAAATACTCGGATATAATTGTTTTCTGGATTTGAAAATAATTTGAAAGATTTTCTTTCCCAATTAAAATCATCCTTATTAGTGCAAAATATTAGTTTGAATTTTTTTTTTTACTAATAGTAAGTAGATTATTGTTATTTGCTAAAAAAAAAAAAAATTTTTGTCAAACTGTCAATTTATTCTTTTTTTTTTCTTTTTTTATTACAAAGAAAGTATTACACTTTCAGCGAAAAATGTCCCAAGTTATACATTAGTTGGCCAATATACACAACTGTTTTTTCCTCCGATTCCCCGTGAAACTGAGTAGTCAATGAACTCCCATGAAATATGAAAAAGGAAACATTTGGCAAAAGCGTGTGAAAGGAAGAAAAGAAAAAAAAACATTCAACCTCTCATCCTCTACTTGATAGTTTTCTGACCCGAAAAGCAAAGAAAGAAAGGAAGAAAAGGTGCTCTTGCAAACCGGTCAGCCAAACCCGACGAGGTACACTCCAAAACTCCCGTTGGTCCTTCCCCATCGCGAGAGTTCACTCACCTGCCAGGTGCCAAAGCCGACGATAGGTGCACACCGGCCGTTCGGCAGAACCACGCTCGTCGACTCGCTCATCGCTATCCTGTGTTTTAACTAAGCGCGTCCTCTCCACCGTAGGGACTCGGACGGACTGAGAGATCCTATATACTCTGCAGCCCCTGGGTGGGGAAGCACTTCTGTCCCGTTGCTCCCATCACGGTGTGACTTTCACTCGGTCGACTAGACATATGTTCTTATCACAGACGCAGGGCAACATTATTTTTCAATTAATGGACGGCTGAAACGGCCGCTACTTGGTACATCATTTCTTTTTAATCACACGTCTAGCGGCAAATGTCAGTTTGTGTGCCATTTTTTTTTTTTTTTTTTTTTTTTTTTTACAAAGAAAGAATTCCCCTTTCAGCGAAAAATGTCCCAAGTTATACATTAAGGCCGATATCCCCACAAATAAATATACTTATAGTAGAGCCATGTATTCGATTATAAACTAGCCGCAACTAATCTTATAGGTAGAAGATTAAAAGTTGACGTTGTTTGTGCTGTTTGCGGCAAGTNTTTTTTTTTTTTTTTTTTTTTTTTTTTTTTTTTTCTCTTGTGGGTAGGTATAGCAATGATCGGAGTTTTCGTTACGACCAGAATTACGTTTGACTACGAATCTACGAATGTATCATCTTTAATTTTTTTCATAGTAATTTTCAATTTGACACTTCCACTACAGTCGTCGGATTATTATAGACATTCCAATTTTTATTTGTACTACTTATACGGCGTATTTGGATATACAAGTATACCTTTTTTCTCTGTAATTAATTTAACTCAATCATCTCTGTTTTTTTTAGTTTGACCACATAGTAGTATAAGCGATTACCTCACAATATCCCCAACTAATTTTATTTTTACTACTTCAGTAGCAAAAGCATCCCTATTCTGTTTTTTCATCGACTCGAAACAAAACGTCGTTTCTGTTCGACCCGTTAAATATATACACTTAAACGTAAACATAAAATGTACCAGCGCTGCATTGTCCTTACAGAGTAGCGATACAATCGCATTTTTTTATTCTCGAGGTTACATGTATACGCTATTAACGATTAGCTGGAACATAGTTTATGTAACACATCAACGATTGTTCGCGATTCTTGTTATTTGTATGATAAAAATTATATACATATATTCATCCGATAGTTGATGGGTTCGCTGGATACTGTGGATAACATGATTCGAGTCCTGTGTATTCTTGTATCTGTGATTTATTTATAAATAACGTGCAATAAAATACCATTAAATTTCGAGAATGCGAAAGTTTTAGAGATTCAGATTTAGAAATTTTTCCGCGATTTTTTCTTCAAATCTCCACGTGTAATTGAAAAAAAGCTAATCGATTCTGGAGCCTCGAGTGATAATTTAATGGCATCGCCATTGAGTTTCAAATACATATTTGCGATCTACATTATTGTACAGTACACCCACAAAATCGATAATTCGTTTGTACACCAATTAGGTACTGGCAAGGTTGCCGTACAATAACCGATTATTTACCGAGAGAAACTTTGTATGTTTATGAATAATTTACTGCATACTCTATATACCACTACCACATATTTTCCGATAATTTCTTTCTTATTTAACAATTTTTGTTTGCTTTGTTTTTGTGTAATTGCTCATACAAGTGTATGGTTAATTAGGATTGAAAATTTTTTTTTTTCACCAACAGGCACATTTATATACGTACCATTAATGAAAAAAGAACAATGGCCCAAACGGGAGGAAAGAGGCAATGAAAAATGTACACCTGCATAAACTGCGGCGCTCACGTGGACAAGCTTTACCGGCGCTACAGTCCGAGCGTACTAAAAATCGTAAAATGTGTAAGTAGTATATAACTTGACATTTGTTTGTGTTCATAAAAAATCTAGGTGACCATAAATTACCGCTTCGGGGGTACTGAATTATCTATGTAGTAATAACCATCTCATGGCCTTTCAGGAAAACTGCGGCAAATTCGCCGACAAGTACGTAGAGTATGACCCGGTGATAGTGCTAGTGGACCTCGTACTGCTGGAGAAGCCAGCCTACCGTCACCTGCTCTACAACAACGACTTTAACGCGTACTGGAAGCTCCTGATCGTCCTGATCCTCGGTGAGTCGTTCCGCCAATGGACGAACCGTGAAGAGCAGCTCAAAGCCTCGGGTCTGATACCATCGCCGAGTTCACCTCTTCTCTTGTCGAGCGTCAACCACAGACCAGAGTACAAATTTGAGTTTAGAAACGAGACGATGGACCTCGTTGGTTTTCAAAGCGAGCGTGACTTTTACTTTCTGCTGGGCCACACGGCCCTCGCCCTCGGCGGCTTCGCCTGCGCCGTTCTCTTCTTCACGGAGCTTCGCTGGCGCGTCTTCGGTGGCCGACCTTCGAGCTACGAGCCCAAACACCTCGTTCGGGCTCTCGTGATCGGCGGCTGTGCCAAGCTGCTCGATCTCCTCAGTATCGTGTGGCACCACGTAGATCCCGAACCCCACGGCTTCCTCATCTACGGGTACACTGTGCTCTGTCTGCTCACGGCTTACTCAGGTTTGAGTTTCAGAAGAATTAAGTAATAACTTTGCGCGGTTTTCCGAGGAACTCTACTCATAACACTCGCTCCACGTTGACCAAATTGTTTTGCCAAAATGCTAACACCATTGATACGATTTTACTGAGTTTTTATTTTTTTACGCTTTTTTTTATCATGTGTTCATTTACATTTAGCATACTCAGTCATGGCGTGCGTGATTATGGTACGATGTTACCGTAATTAACGATAAGAGTTGACTGCTTTCACAAACGCGCCAAACAATTCACTGTACATCGGAAATTTGTGACAATAAAAATTTTTTTTAAATTTATTTTCCTTATATTATTTCAAATTTTTTTATTTTTTATGATTTAGTATAATACACAATCTAGCGAATAAATTAATTAATAAAAAGTGATCATGCGATTAAATAACCATTTATTTTGTAACCATATTGTAATCATTATTGATATTTATTTTCTCTTATGTTAAAATATACACCACTTAAATAAATACTCGTCCATTTAAACTATAAAATTTCAAAAATAAAATAACAAATTTATCTATAATACGATCAAACTTTTGATAAACAAATCACACGTCTTTCTTAAAATTACTATGCTCCTCTATACTATTATGTTTGCTAAGTTTACAAGCAGTTTAACACACACAAACACGATATAGCTTTAACATTTACAATTACATAGGTACATTGATTTCCATGAATATAGCTGAAAAATAGCACCTTGGTAAAATTGATTACACTCAAATTTTCGCATTTAACACCGATTACACTATTTGTTATATATTTTTTTTTTAAATAGCAAACAACGTTATTTTACTCGAAGATATCTACTTGAAAAAAAAAAATTTTTTTTGTTAATATTGACGATTATTATTAAGAACAAAAAATCCAAGATAATATTTGGATCTACTTCGATTGAATTTTTTTTTGCTTTTTTCATATTTACTTACGAGTTAAGTATTCTATTACAATATAATTTTTCTTGAAATTTATGTCGCATTTCTGAATGACTAAACACGATTGTTAAAAATTATATAATTCAACGAAAATCTTTTATTTATATTTGGTTTTTGTATCACCATGCGTTTGCCAACTACAAATACCAATGGCATAGTTATAACTTATGTCTACCAACAGCTTTTGTTTTGGCTGCATGCCTGCACAGCATCGCAAAATAAATTTCAATCCACTTTGTAATACTTTTTCATGATATATTAGTATTCTTCATTTCCGGCACGGTTTTGTTGATCCAACTACAACCGAGTATGTACACCTACATTTACACGTACATATCTACATCAATCAAAGCCTGCGTTCACAAAAATAATTCAACATTTGCACCCTACAATGTTGATGCTTTACATTCAATACAACACGTAAACTCAAGTCCCGGACGAGTAACTTTTTATATTTTATTATTCTGTTTAGTCGTTTGCGAAAGCGGAAGAGCAAGCTCGTTGATCGCACTGACTGTCGGGCTCTGGGTCCACAATTACGTTTACAAAATACTAGGACAGTATTTACCGACCACCAACGTGACTCTGTTGCAAACTTAAGGTCATGCGTATACGGCGATCGCGCATTGTGTCTCAAGCATCCTTTTCTTTGATTGGCAATATGCTCCAGCCAAGTACGAGCCTGTCGAAGCCGCATGAAAACAGACTGCAGGGACTGTTGCTGTCTTCCGCCCAGGCAACTGAGCACACCATTCGTCGATGGCCCTGCGGAATTATTACGTAAAATGTATTATTATTATTATTTTTTTTTTTTGCACCAATACTTGCAAGTTTATATTATTGTTATCGGTTTCTATTCTCGAATGTCAAATTTTAATACAAATTATCTATATGAAATTTTAGACTTATCAAATAAGCTTTATCAAAATTTTTTTAAATTAAAAGTTTCGGTCCTGAGTTTTCTAAATTTAACAGTATTTATAAACGTAGTCATTGTCTGGCTAAAAAGAATTGCCGTATTATGAAGTAAGATATGTAGTTTTTTATAANTTTTATAATAAATATTTTATATTATTTAAATAAAAATCATTATAACTTTGCAAAATTTTTTTAAAGATATAAACAATGTGTGTTAAACATACTTATAGTACTGGACACAAATGAAATACATACATCTTGTAAGCGATCAAAAAAGGCGTTAGCACATGCGATGTGGCATAATAACAGTGGTGGGAGGAGAATGCGCAAAATGTAAGGACTGAAGTGGTGAAAGCAGGGGCGAGCACGTAGGGCTAAGCCTAGGAGGAGCAGGTCTTGAGCTGACGCAGGGGATGCCTGGTAGTAGTCAAGTAATTGATTGAAAACATGGACCTCGTGGAGCTTGCTCCTTGAAAATGAAGGTCACTAATGGGCACGGACCTACGCGCGAAGTGGTAGGGCTGGGGCCGTCAGGCTAAGAAACGCGGCTCCGCAGGGCGACAGCCTTGAGTCAGATTGACGGCAAATGTTTGATATGCAACCTGCCCCACCAGTTCTGTCCACGCGAGTCGAATAGACGAGATATTACTTATGTAAATTTTATTTGTAACTATTATTATTATATTATTTAATTCATTTGGCGAATGTGTTTAATCAGCTAAAACTATTATAAATGCGAACAATTTGAAATACTATGCGAGTGCAGATGCGAGAAAGAAAGAAAGAGACAGGAGTGAGGGAAGGAAGGGGTAGGTGCGAATGCGGAGCGAGGAGAGAGAGAGAAGGGACTAAGGAAGGAGTGCATGAGCGCGGCCCAGGCTGGGCTGCCCAGCTTGGCCAGTATAGTCGAATGATAGCGAGCGAGAAAGGTTTGTATCGACGGCCTGCAACGTAACTCAAAAAGACATTACTACCATTAAACATTTTACTAATAATTCACCTCTTGTTTACTTGCAACTTTTGTGATCCGGCTTCCTTTTTCCTGACGACTACACATCTATTTCGCACTGTGTTTTTTCGTTATAATATATTTATGTGCAGCTTACTATGTATGATAGATAAGGGTTTTGAACTCTGAAGCTTACTACTTTAAGTCTCTGGGATGGGATTATTTACTTCTTGCAAATACGATAGAGATAAGTTAGAGTAACAAATCTAAATTTCATTTGAAATTACCTGTCGACTCGTTCTGGGCAATCGCGCCAATCTCTGGCCATTCAGGTCGAATAGCCGAATTTGTCTATTGTCGTGCGGAATAGCCACCATTCCAGTACTTGATACAGCCAATTTGTTTGCCGAACTGTCGGCGCGGATAGTGGCTAACGGACTTCGGATATTCCGCAATTCCCAAACTTTGACGCTCCTGTCGTCCGAAGCCGAGACTATTTTATCCTCTCTCGTAAAAACCGCTGAAGTTACCGTCCTAAAATCAAAAAGAAAGAGTTCAACGACCGAGCTATGCTACCTGGGTGACTGAATAATAAATTACTGTGCCCAGTAAAAGAACTGACTCGGTATGCCCTTGGAATACAGATACAGAGTGAATGGGTTCTCTAAAGTCCCAGAGCCTAAAAGTGCTGTCCCGACTAGAAGTAACGCACAGGCGTTGCGCGTAATGAGTCGAAACGTTGGTCAACTCCTGATCGTGGCCGCAGAGAGTATGTATTATCTCTCCGGTTTCAGTGTCGTACAGATTGGCAGTCCTGTCCCAGGAGGAGGTCACAATTTGGTCAGCGCCAAAAAGCCAGTCAGCTGCCATGACGACTCCTGTGTGGCCCAAAAGTTCTTTGATGGGAGTTCTGAGGGTTGGAGTCGCCTCCTCCTCTTGAGGAGGGCAGCTGTCTCCGCCCATCGGTCCGGAGCCGCGATCCCCTCCGGAAATAGCGACGTCCTCTGTGGACGGTCTTTTTGGCAGATCCCAGTTGACTGCCGCCTGCCAGACGTGAGCTGAGCCATCACCGCTGGCCGACAGCACCAGATCCCTCGACGGATGGAATCTAACGGAATTGACGGAGCCACTGTGGCCCGTGTAATGCAGCAGGCAACGACAGCTGTCTATACCCCAGACGCGGGCCGTGTGATCGGCAGAGGCGGTCGCGATTACCGGTTGGCCAGATCTGCCTACACAAACTTCCCAGACACCGTCTCGATGTCCCCGGTACTCCCGCTGCATGCTGCACGTCATTGTTGGGTTTTTGAAGCTCGAGACTATTTTACTCGTCTGAGCTTTCAGTTTGTGCGACGCTTTGACTTTGTGAGCGGGATTACCGGTGAGAGCTGAAACATAGACAAAGAGACTTTTGACTTTTTATTTTACTTTAGAATTTTGGCATTGTTTTTTATTGATCGAATCCCTACTTTTATCAAAGCCAGCAAGAGTAAAAAGCAGTAACAAAAGGAATTATGGACCAGTATGCGCGTCATAGGCACTACTACAATTTGGCTTGGTAATGCATATAAAACAGTTTGAGTTTGTTTATTTTTATCATAAAAAGCTTTTCATTGGTTTCATGTTCTCTTAAAAAAAAAAAAATATTGATATCAAGCGATGAATTGAATTAAACTGAAAACCATTTGTGAGACTTACATTTACTTTTAACAAGAGTCTTAGCATATGTAAAATCTTGGAAATCTCCAGTAGGTAGATTTCGCTCCGCAGATCCATAGCATTCTCTTTCCAGCTTCTCGTTCAACGCCTCTATCTTTTCTTGCACTAAAAATGGTACAAATTATTTAGAAAATTAACGAAACAGCATTATATGAATGTAAGTAAATAAAAATCTGGGTGAGAAACATACGGCCAGAGTTCTCTGCACAGAGCATCTCGAATTCTTTTTCAATCTGCTGGAAGAGGTCTAATAATTTTGAACGCAGTACTGGAGGTATCGCGCTGTCCTCGACGTCTGTGCGAAAACTGGCGTACTGGGACACCGTTACTGGTTGAAGTGGAGTAGATCCGCTCTGCTGGGACTGCAGTTCTGTATCTGTGCCGCTCTGGACGCGAGGTATCGATATTCTTTTGACTTTGCCACTGGATTTGTTGCCTGTGGTGACTGGAGGTTCTCCGGGCATGGTTTTTACTATGACTTACGACAAGGAAGCTCGCGATGAACAACACTGAGGCGTCTCGGGCGATCTTCACGCGACATAAATCGCTGCCTTTTACAGTATAACTTGCTTGAAAATTTGGGCAAAACTTCTTTTTTTTTTATTTTATTTTCAGCAGAGATTCCTTGTCAATGGTATAAATGGTTTACGTGGTAATGGAATATGACACCAAATAACGATGGGTTGTCAAATATTCAATTATTCCTGCCTCCACCGTTGTGACTGGATGCGGTTGTTCACAGATATTTCTATAATGGTGAATAAAAATATATGAAAACATAAAAAAACACATCAAAAGAAGATATTCGACCTAGTATTAACGTAAATTAATTGATACAATGAATATATATTCAACAAGCAAATTATGCTTACAGATTTAATAACACACAGACCCGACAATGTAAAGTTATTCCAACAATGTCTAAAATATAAACAATGATTATGACAAGCTAAATTTGACAAGTGCACAACTTATTTTGTGATATATTATGCAATAGCTGCCATCTTGAACTAAAAAGTATTCAGTCTCGCGAGAAATTTACACTGAAAACATTTTCCTAAATGATTTTTGATAATGAAGAATCTAGCTTCATATCTTGAAATTTTGAACAAAACAAAAAAAAAATGTGATTAGATGTACTGTAAATCTGAATATGATCTTACGTAGGGCTAAGAACAGTATTTAATAGAGAAATTGCAGAATAAAAAGGTAAGTAAATCAAGTATATGCTCACATTTCACGCACACAGTATAATACAATACACATCAGTGACTTGATGACTTTTTACCTTATTAACATTCCGTTAACATTAACATATAGGTAATATTCACTTCACTCTGACATATGCTCTAAATACTTAAATCAGCTATAAAATCTAAAATTACGCAGTATTATTTTATGAATCATTTCAGTTCAGTGGGTGGCAATCGATATCGATGGTCGATCCGGCGATGGGTGATGGTCTGACGGTCTCATGGACGAAGCAAATATGCGGGGGGTAGGGTGGTACGCATCAAAATTGTACCTACGGCTGCTCTCGGCTCTTAGACCAAGAACTGAGGCCGAAGGGTGGTAAAAATTTTAACCAGCCGCCACTCTCACCAGAATTGAGGAACTTTATGATTCGTGGAGATCCGAAATATTTTGGTCATATTTCATAGTGGTGAAGAGTTATGCGGTAATTATAGCAGTGCCGTATAGTCTTTTTTATTAACTAGCCGCAATTTTCACCAATGGATAAAAAATAAAAAGTTGTCGACTGTAAGTGCCATTTTTGGCAAGATTAGAATGCATCTTGTACCCAAAAATCGACCTCCAAAAACATAGATATTGTCTTCTTATCTACAATGTTATCTATAATACCTCATCTATTATCTTAGATGAGTATTATAGATAAGACCGGGTAGGGAGTTTATATTTTTGAAGGTCAATTTTCGGGTACAAGGTGCATTCTAATCTTGCCACAAATGGCACTTTCGGTCGACAACTTTTTATTTTCTATCCATTGGTGTAAGTTGCGGCTAGTTAATAAAAAAGATCATACAGCACTACTATAATTACCGCATAACTCTTCACCACTATGAAATATGACCGAAATATTTCGGATATCCACGAATCATAAGGTTCCTCAATTCTGATGAGAGTGGCGGCTGGTTAAAATTTTGACCACCCTTCGACCTCAGCTATTGGTTCTATGTTCTATCTCGGGCATCGGGCTATTCGGGATGCTCCGAAAAGCTGTAGGTTAGGTTGGTTATAGTTTTTTGGAGCACCTCACACTCACACCAACTGACCTCACCATCATCCAGTGCATGTTGTGCAAATGTGTAGACCAAGATTGGGCGACCCCCGGGGTGGCCGGGGTCCCCGGGTTGCCCAAAATACCAATATAGATATACAACAGCCATGTATTTTTGGTAAAGGAAGGTTAGTATTGGGCGCCGAATCTCGGTCGGTCCGTCGGTACTCGGTCGGTCCCTGAACAGTATAAATATAGGTATAGGTACTTAAGTACTTTATACCTGTATATTTTATTTGGTTAAAACTAAAACTAACGGAGTTGCGTTCTGCTTCCGCATAAGTAACTAAACTAAACACACCTAAAACTCACCAGTCGATGTGTCGGTGCCTGAGCAGCCTGAACCCTGACAGCTCGACTGCGAGAGAGAAATCCCAATTGATTTGTGAGAGAATCCTAAGAAGTTGGTATACTTAAGTACTTATAGTTCATCGAAGACCGAAGATACGAAAATTGGAAAAACCTAGAATCTCAGCCTCGGCCCTACTTAAGTACAATGGGTCATAGATTTCACAGTGCCTTTTCGAACGTGACATTCGTCTCCCACCTTTGCTGCCACGGCCGCCGAATCTCTACCATATCTGCCTGAGATTATCAACTATTAACATTACTTGTTTCTAATACCTATTGTTGTCTTGTGGCACTAGTCGTTTTCGAATGATTCGTATTTCATGCTCTCTCTACAAAGTACTGCGTGTAAGTATATTAATTATTAAATTGAATATCAACATTTACGCCTTTGCAAAATAATTTCTCTGACTCGAAAATCGGGGGTTAACTAACTAACCGAGCATATAAGTGATGTATTTCTTGTTACATGCTTACCTCTCCCCCCCCCCCCGTCTTGCATCCCTGTTCATTAACATAATCGTATTAATGTGTCACATCACATATGTTTTTGTACCTTTGGCCAGAAGTGCAAGTAAAGCTAATTAGAATTAGCTAAGGAGGCCGAAGAAGAAGGTACTATGAAGGCAAAGAAATTGTTTGCTGCTCTTGGAGCAGGCCTGCTTGTGGCCTGCTGCATCATGATTTACCTGATACTCGATGTCACTTTTCTTCCCCAAAATCGTGGCACAAAGACTAATTTTCAGGACGTAAGTGCCTTTCTTTTTTTTCTTTTTTTAAACCAATTTTTGTCGCTACATTGTCGATGAGAAATTTATATTGTGACATTTTTATGAATTGCAGAATCAATGGTTGCATTTTGAAAATCGATTATTGGAACTGGAAAACAAGTTTAAAAATCATCACCACGAGGCAGCTTCTCAAGTGAAGAAAAAGCGAAATGGAGAAACTGCAGAGCTAGATGATAGTACTGGTTTACATATGAAGTCTGGCGAACCCTCAGAGTGCACCGTGAATTTCAGACAGTTACCAGAAGTTGATATTCAAATGCTGGATATTTACAACCAGTTGAAATTTGACAATCCAGATGGTGGATCGTGGAAACAAGGTTGGGATATCAGATATAACGAAAGAGAATGGTCCTCTAAAGATAAGCTGCAGGTCTTTGTGGTGCCACACTCTCACAATGATCCGGGATGGTTGAATACTTTTGAAAAATATTACTCATACCAAACGCAAGGAGTACTTGACAATATGGTACATAAGTTAGCTAGCGATAGTAGAAAGAAATTTATTTGGGCAGAAATCTCATACCTTAAACTTTGGTGGGACGATCAATCTCAAGCTACTCGTGAAACAGTTAAGCAACTTGTGCACGACGGTCAATTGGAAATAGTTGCTGGGGGCTACGTTATGCCTGATGAAGCAGTATCCCACTGGATGGCTCAGCTTACACAATTAACCGAGGGACATCAATGGTGAGTATTAATTTCATAGATAAATTTTAGAGTGATCTGTTAACCAGAAAAAAATAAAAACTTCACAGGCTGAAAGCAAATTTGGATTACATACCCAAGACCGGCTGGGCCATAGATCCCTTTGGACTCTCTCCCACGATGCCGTATCTCTTAAAAAAAGCTGGTCTGGAGAACACCCTTATCCAGAGGGTTCATTACTCTGTGAAGAAAAAGTTGGCACAAGACAAGCACTTGGAATTCCGTTGGCGGCAGCTGTGGGATAATGACGGCTCTAGCGAAATATTCACGCACATGATGCCCTTCTACAGTTACGACATCCCGCACTCTTGCGGCCCAGATCCCAAGATCTGCTGCCAGTTCGACTTTTACCGGCTGCCAAGCTTTGGCTTCAGCTGTCCCTGGAAGATACCTCCCAAGGCCATCTCAAAGTCCAACGTTGGTAAACGTGCAGCCGTGCTACTCGAACAGTATCGAAAAAAGTCCGAGCTGTATAGGTCGAACGTTGTGCTGGCGCCGCTGGGCGACGACTTCCGCTATTCCCATGTCACCGAGTGGGACGCTCAATTCAACAATTACCAAAAGTTGTTCGATTACATGAACAGTGACCGACAAATGAACGTGCACATACAGTTCGGTACGTTGAAAGATTACTTCGAGGCGGTGAGGCGCCAGGAGGACGTAAATTCGTACCCCAGCCTGAGTGGTGATTTTTTTACGTACTCCGATCGTGACGATAATTACTGGAGCGGTTACTATACCTCGAGGCCGTTTCACAAGCGCTTGGATAGGGTTTTGCTGGGAGCGCTCAGAGGCTCGGAGTTGATGGCTACGATAGCCTGGATGCAGGGTAACGATCTGCTCCAGGAGAGAATGGCTGCAAGGCTAGACGTGGCCAGACGCTGGCATTCGCTTTTCCAGCATCACGACGGAGTCACTGGCACTGCCAGAGATCACGTTGTTGTCGATTATGCGCAAAAGATGATTGTCGCACTCAATAACTCGGCTCATATTCTTCAGCAATCGATCATGCATCTAATGAGGACTCCGCAAAAGGCGGCCCTCGATCTTGATGATACTTACCTGTCTTTGGATAAGACTAGGTAATTATGATGAATTTTTTTGTACTTTCTTGCTAAAATCGAATCGCTTGACTATTTTTTTTTTCCCCACAGGTCTTATCACACAAGTCCGGGAGACAAGTATGTTATTTCACTTGGCAGTGACATTCCTCTAAAAAAAGTTTTGTTTTACAACTCACTTCCAAGATCGCGAACGAGAGTCGAGAGCGTGTACGTGTCGACACCGTACGTCCGAGTTACGGATAGAACGGGCCGGCCGATCACGTGTCAGATCTCGCCGGTCTGGGTCAGCCCAGCAGCTATGTCTGCAGCGAGATACGAATTGTCTTTTCTAGTCACTATACCTGCTTTTGGCGTCACCACATACGTAGTTCATTCCTTGCACGGACAAAATTTGCCAGAGTATGTTGGACATGTAAACTTTACTACAGATACAAATGATTCCATCGAAATGGCTAATTTCGAAATTAAATTAAATTTACTCTTGTGTTTTCTAACAGGGAATGCCATCTGGCAAATGTAACGGTATACAACACAGCCATCCCATTATCAGTGGTACCTGGTTTCGACGCCGTACAAACATTCCCACGCATGCAAGAATTCTCCATCAGCCAGCGACCCGAGTTGTCCGCGTCCTTTGGTAACCAAGGCTTGCTCAAGGCTCTGCGAATTGATGAAATGACGCATCCAGTGCGCTTGGAGTTTGTCAAGTACGGAACGCGAGGGGTCGGTCAGGACCGAAGTGGAGCCTACCTGTTTCTGCCCGACAAGCCCGAGCCTGATCCAGTTTTTGACAACAACCACAATCGCATTGTTCATCTGATCACGGGACCCATTTTTTCTCGAGTTTTTACGGATTTGCCCCACGTCAAGCACATATGTACTCTTTACAATTCACCGGGTAGCGATGGACTGGGCTTGCACATTACAAACGAAGTTGACGTTACTGAAACACAAAACTTTGAACTGGCCATGAGAATCAATACCAACATTGCTTCGGGAGACGTGTTTTACACCGACTTGAATGGTTTGAACGTAAGCATCGTTGTTTCGATACTGGTACACCTTTCTTATTCTCTCGAATTGTATTGTTGACGTTCTCTTTTGCAGATGATTAAAAGACAAAGGTTCTCGAAAATTCCAACGCAAGGTAATTTCTACCCTCTGGCAGCAGCTGGCTACATTTCAGACGACGATTTGAGAATGACCATAGTAACTGGACAACCTTTGGGAGCTTCTTCTATGTCTTCTGGACAGTTTGAAGTATGAAATTTCCTAATAATGTGGCATCAGTTTAATATTGTTACTTTAAATTAAGAGTATATTGTTTTTGATTTTAGATCATACAAGATCGAAAATTAATGCAAGACGACAATCGGGGCTTGAGCCAGGGTGTAACAGACAACTTGTTGACTTTCCATCAATTCACTTTAATCCTTGAAAAACGCCAAAAAAATTGCGCGCACTCTGAGACACCGTCTGAACATCCGGCGGGACTTTTGTCTCTCGCTGGACATTTATCTTTGGATGATATGCTTCATCCAATAACTGGTTTGCATCCACGACAAATGGCTCCGTTAAATCTCAATCCGAACTATTCGGCGCTCGGTACCAACTTTCCAGTAGACTTGAGTGTCGTCAGTCTACGCGTTATTGATATTCCCGACGGCGCGGGCAAAGGTGTAGGTTTAGTGTTGCATCGTCAGGGGTTGAGTCTCTGCTGGGGCGATAAAAGCTTGCAGCAACGCTTCCCGGTCTCGAAAACTGGTGATATTGATCTAAGTAAGTTTATTGTATCCATGCAAGATTGGACCATTAGCAAGACGCCGCTCACGTTCACAAAAGTCGAATCCTCGTTGCAGTCGCCGATGGTAAGCTTGTGCCCACATGAGCTACTCTCATTGTTGTTTTACAAATCTTAAGGTGCAAAGAAGCATAAGATCTTTATCATGTTTACACATAGTATTAAAGTTTAACATTTTTTTTTTTTTTTTTTTTTTTCTTCAACATTTTAACTTTTATCTATTTAGTGTTTCGAGCAGCTGATTTTTGAGAATTATTTATTAAATCACAAAATAGACAGTTAAGGACGATCAGCTGATAATTTCAAATATTCAACTTGGGTATACTAGCATAATAAAAATCTGCGGCATATATTGTGTATGGATGGTAAATTCACTTAAGTAAGCTGGTCGAGCAAAAGAGCTGCCAAGCTCGACAAATACTATAGAAAAATTGCGAAATATTTATTTTTGAAACTTTACTCGTTCTTCAATCAATCAACAATTCTAAGAAACTGTATTTATTATTGTCAATCAGTCATGGATATAGGAAATTTTAAGTCAAAATTATTTTTGCTTTTGAAAAACATTCACTTGGAAAAATTAATTTGAAACTTATGTGTTTCATAGACTTAATTTGTACCGATTTTTTTATTTACTTCTTGTGCTTATATTTCTGCTGTTTTTCGCTGCACCTTATGTATATGTAATCTCTAAAACTGTAGAAAAAAGTGCACTTTAGTCGATCTATAATCTCACACATTTTAATAGTCAAATCTATAGACAAAATCTTTTTTTTTAGTTTTCAAATGTACTATAGTTAATTTCAATTGCCAAAATAATGGACACTGTATTTTCAAAGTACGTGAAAAAAGTACATTTCGGAAATACTTTATAAACGAAGTGTTATTCTCTTTTGTAAGAGTAAAATCTGTATAAAACTTATAAGTAGAAAAAAATGTAAGCTCAGGCAATAAAATATAATTGCCCATGCTGTGATACATGAAGAACAGTCATTTTAAAAACAAATTATGTTTCAATAGAAAATACTTAATAGGGTCTTAATGCACATAATATTTTTAAACTGATGCTATTCTCGAAGATTTTTTCATGTCATACATGTTGAAAATTGTCAAAAGTATCAAACAGGTTATGGGATCCAAAATAAGAGCTGTGTGATTATTTGGAAAAAATTATTAGTTTATAAAAAAAATTGTCAAATGAAAATTGATTGCTTTTGTTAGGTTATTTTATATAAGTAAAGATTATGAAAATTTTTTTTTCAATTTTTTAATGAAATTGATTAGGTACTGTCACGTGGGAAAGTTGCATATCGTATGTAACATTACTTACACGTGTTCATAATTGGTGATCATTAAAAAATTAATGAAAACTGTAATCAGAAAAAAAAAACTGCCAGTTTTCGTGAGTTTTATCAAAATATATTTTTGCAAAATAAAAAACACTTATTAAAAAAAAATATAAACATCATTTTAAAAATCGAATGCTTGTTTACATTATCAAAAAAATTTGAGGATTTTTCTAACTTTTACATCAATTGATTCGTTTAAAATAAATAAATATTAAAATAACGAGACTACTATCGCTTATGCTGTACGTAGATTCTGCTTACTCAAAATACAATAAGTAGTGTCCTCTGAGGATGGTGGACTTGTCACGTCAATTTTGTATCTGAAACAGTATTATAATTATTTAAAATACTGTAAACCTATTGCTTTTTTTCTTGATAGATGTATGAATTTAATAAGTCATGTGCAATACAACAATAATCCCGTAAGCAATTGTAGAATCTCCTTTACAATTATATACTTTTAAATAGTCCTTAAGTATTGCAAGTAGTGTGCAAGTAGTGTGGTACAACATTGTGTGATACAACAAACATATTCTTCCACTGAAAAAATCATGCAGCTCTAAAAAGTATATTTTTAATAACCATAGGAGATAGTGAAATAGAAATTTCATTTATAATTTATGAAACTAACAAAATTCATGCAGCTAACAATAATTAAGAATATTTAAACAAATTATATGTAATGCATTTTATATAGTGCATAGTGCAAGTTGTCTCAAATATTTTTAAGATTAGAAAGGAAAAATAATTATTGTAAATATTTGTTTCCATTAAGCAATTATATCTATACATACATAAGTAGTGGACTGGCAGTATTTAGAGTTTTAATGAGCATGTGTGTAGATTGATTTTTTTTTAACAACTTTACTGTCAGAATAATGTCAGCAATTGTTAGAAGAAAATAATGAACATTGTGTCTGTGCTTGTAGATGGTAGAGATGTGAAGTTCGATATAATAGAAAAGTATATCTATACAAGTGCAGTTTTAATGGAAAATTTTTTAGTATTTTTTAAAGAATTTTGTGTGAAAAATGACAATGTCATTTGCAACTTAGTAAATCAGAATTAAGCTGTATTTTGTATTGTATGCGGTCGATTGAATACAAAAGCTTGAAGAAATACTTGTAAAACTAATTACCTGAGTTTGTGGAAGAATGAACAGGCTATGGGGTTTTTTGTAAGTACTGTCAAAACAACTTTTTGCATTTGATTGTCGGTAGCCATGGCCTCAAGAGCTTGCATCATAAATTGACCAATTCCTTTACGCCTTTCCGATGGCTCTAGTTGTAGTTCATAACTGCATACGATGCATTGAATAAAGAATTTATTAAAAAAATATCAAGGCATTGATTATTCCAAGAAATACTGGATTTCTCAAAAATAAATAAAAAAAAAAAGAAACAATTATTACCAATACAAAACCTCCACAGAATGATCCATGTCAAATCGAAAATGTGAAAAACCAACCATTCTACCTCGATGAGTTGCAATCAAGTAATAAGCACATTCTTCCGTGAGTTCAGTCTGTTTTTTGTGCTCGTCCCAGCCCCAAATCGATTCTATGTACAATGTCTTCATGTTTCTCTCCATCAGATCAAATATCCAAACGATGGTCTCACCAGAAAGTTCTGTGACACGGCTGCAGCTCAACTCGACCGTAGACCCATCATTTAGGGTGAGACTGTGAAATTTCGTCAATTTTTCTAGCGGATCGTCTTTGGCGTTTGCTTTTTGCACCAAATTCTGAGAGGCAGTTTCTTTCTCTGCTTGAAGCTGTTTTCTTGTCTTACGTGGTGTTTTGTTCTGTAAGACAAAACATTTTCAACTTTTTATTTATATTTAATGTTTCAATTATTCATAAAGTGCAATAAATCTAATGAGAAACTTTTTTCCAAGGTCCTAAATACAAGTGTTCTAAGGCAGAGACAGAAGATCACATATAACCAATTTTGCTTTGAATAAGCAGTTGGAAAATTAATGTGTTTGAGAACTAAGCAATGACGTATAAACGTATTTAAAAAATTATGTAAAATCTAGATAAATAACTTTGATAGAAAAATAAAAATAACGAACTTACTTTCATCGTGTGCTGAGTTGTTTCGGAGTCGGCACTGTCGGCAGTGTGTTTAGGACAGAGAACACAGAGAGACACTGCATGTAAACATTATTCGCGCGGGAAAAAAACGCTCCGACTCCGAAGATTTAGCTTAGGGTGCGTTCACATGGACAGGTCTCATAAATTTTATATATAATTTCAGCTGGTAATTTAAACTGACAGCCATAAAATTAATTTTATTTAATAATCAATTATATGCTTTGTTTCACAATAATTACTTGGAAATGTCATAACTTAATCCGAAACTGTATGAAATTTTTCTCTGTATAAAATTCATTTATAATATTATGTTATGATACAAATCGTATAATTTTACCAAAAATTAGGTGATTAATTTGCTGTTTGCAATGAATTTTTTATGCCCGTTGGAGTCCGAACTCCGAACTGTCAATTGTCATTTTTTTTTTTTTATTATACATATAAATATATTGTAGTATACTCTGAACTCCGATTGTTGCGGCGGACATTAGATAGGTACTTAATTTACGGTGGGCGAGATAATGCAATAGAAGAAAGAATGTTCATTCTCGTCGTCGTCAACGGGGATACATAAGTATATGAGCGGACTGGAGAGATGATGATGAAAGATAATTTTTGACTTGTGAGACACAACAAGAGTCACGGAAGTTATCAATTCAAATAGATTATACAGCGTGAGCCTCTCCTCATTTGCAGTTTTTAAAAGTTATCAAGTTTACGTACTCTCTCGATACTTCTTTTTTTATTTCAACACAAAAAATCTTGGTACCCAATTATTGCCCCTGATGAAGGTATCGCGATAAGTACAAAAATATAGGTGTATAACCTTGCGCTCACGACGACGACGACGACGGGGAAACGAGTATATATAGCAAACGCAACTCCGCGCGTGCAGTGCAGTGCACTGAGATTGTTTTGATTTGTTTTCACCATCAAGTGAACCGATGATGACCGATTCCCTTTTTTTTTTCGTCTGCTTCTGACGGAAATCAAGCAACGCACACACGCATCGACGACGTCATCGAGTTCCTCAATCAACCCCAGCTGGACCATTGGCGAATTCTTCCACAATAGATATTAAAGCAAACGAGTGCTGGCCTAAAACGTAAGCCATTCATTTTTTTAGATCTAAGGATATGAGTAATAAAGTATAATGGGCGTGGAGAGAGTTCTCGGTGTACCTATAAATTTCGCGTGCTCAGCGGCTGCCAATATGCCAGTCTAGTGTCAGTTTTATTTTTAGTTGAGTTCCAGAGAATGTTTGTTTTTCCTTCTTTGCCCAAAACTTGACATGATTTTTTTTTTTTTTTTACTTGGTACATTTATTGACAGTCGCTTTTGTTAATTATGCAGTTGGTTTTTGGAGCTCATCTGTGTGTATCTTTTCCTCAGTTTTTCTTTAAAAGCTCTGTTTTAAATAAATTTGTACCTGTGAAATCGTGGCTCATCTCATCTGCATTTTTTCATCATAAGAGATTGTGTAGAGGATAAATCTGTATTTTTTAAAATAGCATCTCTTGTGATAAAGGAAAAGATTTGGTATAGTAACAATTTCCATTTGAAATAATTTTCCAGGCACACTAATGTCGGAAGACGCAAGTGGTTCAAAAATGGACGAGAAAGCCGTGGAAGCAATGACTGAGTGCTATGATAATTACGTTCTAGTGGATGTAGGAGCAAATCTAACAAACAAAAAGTACAGTCGAGATTTGGACAGTGTCATACAGAGAGCCAAAGACTCAGGGGTTCAGAAAATAATGGTCACAGGAGCGAGCATACGATCGAGTAAGGAGGCTTTACGTTTGACAAGAATTTACCCCGGTACCTTGTATTCCACGGCTGGAGTTCATCCCCACGATGCCAAATCTTGGGAAGATCCAGAGACACTAGAAGAATTACAAAGTATAGCCAATAATCCTGAATGCGTTGCCATTGGAGAGTGTGGGTTAGATTATAACAGTAAGTGAGGCACAAGCTATTGATTTAAACGATTTCATAACAATATTTATTCCAATTACACCCGAGTATAATAGCTTCTCTTATACAATCCATTCTTATTTGAGGCAATAAATCAAATTTTCTAACAACAGAAATCTCAACAGTGAACATAATTGAATACCTATTGCATCGATGGCTTCTAAAACGTTTAAAAATTAATTTTTCAGGAGACTTTTCAGAACCCGAAGTTCAAAAGTCCGTTTTTCAGAAGCAAGTAGAGCTTGCTTGTCGCATAAGCAAACCATTGATCATTCACGAGCGAGGAGCTCAAGCCGATGTGCTGGAAGTTCTGGATCGCTATACAGATCGACTACCTCCGGTACTCATTCACTCGTTCATTGGCACAGCCGAAGAGGCACAAGTATACCTCGACCACGGTTTTTATCTCGGCATAACGGGCTACTTGTGTAAGGACAAATCGGACAGTGGCGTGCGACAGTTACTGGAGGGCGGCCAAGTGACGCTCGACCGAATTCTCGTAGAGACGGATGCGCCCTTTATGTACCCAAATACACGGGCCAGCAAGTTACCAACCCACATAAAAGACGCCTTGACGGAACGGTCTATGACGTTCTTGCAACGCTACTGCACGTTCCAGCGCAACGAGCCTTGTGCCCTGCCTGCCATCGTAGAGATGGTCGCAGCTTTCATGCGCAAAAAGCCCGAAGAAGTCGCGCTTGCAACCGCATTCACGGCTCTTAAACTCTTCGGCCTGGATCAATGATAATTATTTTATTTTTTTTATTATTTTACTTTATTTTACTTTATTTTCTATTATCAACACAAACATCGCAGCGATTGTAATAATGTGCAATTGGTGCTAGCTTATACTCTGGGTGTTGCCAGAAATTTGGGAGACCCGCCGTCGATATTGCTTTCATTACGCTTGTAAACGCAATTTTATTTCCATAATTTAAGGATTATGTAGACATTGTACGATTGATTTTTATATTCAACGAAATATTTTTTTAAGATGGATGCGATACACGCCAGACTATGACAAAAATACGTGCCCTGCAAAGGTCGACAAATTTTTATCACTTGTTCGGTTAATGTTTAAAGTTATCAGTTGATTGTGTTAAAGTTCATGCAGTTGTCTGTAAATTAAAAAAAATTTTTTAACGAAACGACTAAAATAGGGACTTGTACAAATGTGCAAGACATTTTTAATACTGTGAAACAGTTGTGTGATGAAAACGTATATATTTTATTGTTGATATATTGCCTATTTTCATAAAAATAAACGATATAATCTAAAAAAAGTCTTCCATCGTTTATTTGTCCTGAACTTATGTACCATTATAATCATGTTATATTAAGAATTATAGCAAGATTTGAGTTACAGCACAAATATGAAGTACTAAACCAGTGAAATGTGAAAATTAGAAAATAAACTTACACTGCCGCATACTACACAATATAAAATATTAGATTTGTTTAACACATGTGAAATTAATTTTTAACAAATAAAAGAGATGTAATTGAAGAAGAAACAAACGAGGTGTATAAATGGTATGGAAAAAATTAGATTTGGTTGAGTGTATTTTTTTAAAAATAAAACTGACAAGTTTAATTACAGAAAAGCAGGCAGCACGGCAGCAGCAGCCTATGCAGAGAGAAAGAGAGAGAGAAAAGAGACAGAAAAGAGGGATTGGATAGTGGTGCCACCTTTACCGCGTAAAAGCACCGTAAACTCGTATTTGAACCGTTCAAATAAGTTATACCTTATTGTTTATACTTGACATATGAACTAGATAAAAGTAGCGCTCGTAAAAATATTCCCAAATGCTTTCTGAAGATTATATTATAGTTTGCATATAAAAAAAATAAACAAAACAATTTTTTTACACTCTCGCACTTTTTAGACACTTTGACAAAAATATTTTATTCTAGTACTCACCAAGTTTTGTAATATTTACTCTTTTTTTGAGAAAAGTATAGTTTTACGTTGAAAAATTCATCCAAAGGAATATTATTAATTGCAACCTATAAGTACACCCTAATTCTGAATTGACAATTCCTCGAAAATGAGTGATTTTAATAAGTAAGTCAGGAAAATCCAAATCAAAAGGGTCTAAAAACTATTTAATCCTTATCGACAGTTTTGTATGTACTAATAAACCTTTCACATCTTTAGAAAAAATCATTTATATGTAAGGATGTACGTAAATAATAAGTTGTGTTCAAAAGGCACTTTTGTGATCAGAATTAAGTACGTGTTTCAATGAACAGTTTTTCGAAATGATTTTTTTTTTTTTTTTTTTGTAATTTTGAGATTTTTATTATTTTTCAAAGTAAAAGTATCGCTACGGAGTACGTAATGCTAATGATAAAAGCTTCTATGAGGTAATAACGGATTGAGCCCTTTTTCCTCCATTCAGACAAAGATTCAGACTTGGGTACGGATACTATTTCAATTACAATCAAACACAATATTTTGTTAAAAGTTTAATGCATTATTTATGTTTGAAAAAGTAATATTTGTAAACCCATTGCTAAACAAAAGTTTTTCCCAGCAAAAGCAACTATTTAATATATTTGTAAGAAAAAACAGTTAAGGGAAAATTCAATTTCAAATACTTAAAAATAAAATTAAAAAAAAAAAAAAAATTTTCTCAGCATTATACAGCATTGCAAATAGCGATGATGAAAAATACTTTCTTCAAAAATGTTCAAAAACCCATAAAATAAAATTGGGCCCAAGTCTGCAGGTAGCTGAATAGGACAAAATAACGAAAGATACGATTGAAACACGGTATAATCGACAGGAAGTAAGAAAAACAAAGGCTACGCACATGCTCCAATTAACCCACTAATCAGCCAAAAACTTGCCGATGCGAGTAGCCGAATGGAGCTCCAAAAAAAAAAAAAAAAAAAAAGTGAAGCACGATCGAGATGTCCTATATACACAGACAGATCGCGTGGCATCGAAGAGGAGAGGAAGAAAATATCGGTGCAAATGGGTCAGTCGTGTCCCGCGAGGGAAAGAGAGGCCAAAGGAATAAATATCGGGGCGCCCGCCCGCGGGCCCGATGCACGATCCTCTCTCTCTCTCTCTCTCGCGTATACCCACAAAAGGGAAAATAAAGTAAGCTAAGGCCGCGACGACGGGCCTTCACCTTCGCCATGTCTATACGTATACGCTCACGTGCATTCGCACCTCTCTGGTATATA